TACGACGACCGCTCAACAAACTAGTAAAATTATGTTTATACAAAAAACAAGAAGTGGCATATTAAATGAATATTCCTTAATGATTTCCATTTATGTTTAAGATGAAAAATATTGCTGACTATAAAAATATTTATTGATTTTACTTAATTTTTCAATGGGATTTTATATTACGTATTATGATTTATAACTGTAACTATCTCTTGTCAGGAATTATTTAACGAAATTCGATAGCAATCGCGTAACTAATTAACTGTAAGTTTCAATAAATCAAAGAGGTGTTATCGCATTTTAATCGTCTAATGTGTGCAACCAACATACATTAAAGAGTCGACAGTTAGTGGTTTTTTGCAACTACCGACCTATCATTAATTTTCATTACATCACGGAAGATCTATTCGAAGTCGAAAATTTTAACAATTTCTTTTGAAGGAACGACAAAAATAAATTAAAAAGCGTTTACAAAACTGATCTAAAGTGTTTATGTATTATTACTTTTTACGTATTATGTTGTAATAATTTTATAGCAGCTTACTGCTATAAAATATAGCTACTGAATCAATTTTTTGCCGTATTATAGTTTAAATTGTTTTCGTTTAAGATTTTTCATCACAATATCTCTTTTAACTTTGTAAGTTTACACCTAAATGTGGTATAAACTGCGTAGTTTTAATTCTTTTATTTTTATTTATTTTTTTTTTTTTACATCTGAACTTTGTATTATTTGTAAAAGTTATATCTCACATTTATTATACGAGTACCACTTTTTCTTTCAAACTTTGTGTGTAATAACAGTCGAGATACGTCGTCGGGTTTACTCTCGATACGCACAAAAAAAGAAACGGTTATAAAACGTTTTTTCCAAATCTCTATTTTAGATTTATCACCAAAGAGATTCTTGAAAATTGAATATTTTCCTCCAAATTCGACAAACCATTTTGCTACAAAGAATTTCAATAATTTAAAAAAAAAAAAAAAAATAGCGTCGTCTATGTGATACTAGAGTATTAATTCTGACGATCAAAGGGAATGCTCACAGGACATTGTTCGCTCAACCGTATAAGCTTTAAAGAAATTCGAAATGTTTATATAAATTGCAACCGAAAAGCACGAAACGAATAGATGTTTAAGAATCTCCCACTTTTTTTGTCGGTAGCGAATTACAGGAATTGTATTAAAATATATTCTTGAGAGGATTAAGACAGTTATTTCAGTTGTTGTTGAAACATTTTGCACACTTTATTTTAATAACCGTCTCCGGAAATCCATTAAAATTTAGTCCCGTGATGTTTTTGAGTTATACCGAAGTTTTCAGTCTGATATTATCGAATACCATCGCCCATTGGATCTTCATGACAACAGTTTCTGCAAAAACGTTTACTCGATTATATAATTTCCAAGTTTATATCAGAAGATTTCTGATCGTATAAAATATATTTGGATAAATATGTCGACGAAGGCGAATATTGAGTGGCTTTTGAATGCCTAAATACTTTAAAATTTAACAAACTACTTATGTGGGAATCGATTTCCTGGGCTGCTTGTGGTGGTGTGACATAGTTGCCGAGACTGTTATTACCGTTTGAATTGATGTTTCAATTGCTGTCCGCAGCGTTAATGAACCGCATGGTTTGTGTTAATAAATCAATGGGAGTTCTCATTTATCACCGGTCGGACTTTTATTGCCGTTGGGTCTAATGACGAGGGAACTGATTTTTATTCATTCGATTTTCCCTAAACAAATTGTCATTTAAACTCGATTATTAATTGTGATTGGACGTCGCTCGAAAAATATAATAAATCCACTCAGATTTTTATTTATCTGATCATTTAGATTATATTCATTTATTTAGACTCGACGTACTAGTAATTTTTATGTTGATTGACGACAAATATTAATGGGTTTGCAGTAATGCCAAAAAATATGAATAAAGTAAAAGCTTTTTTTTTTTTCAAATATTTATATTGGAGTATTTATAAGAGTTTATTTGTTGTCAGTTGCATTCAAATATTCGTCGTATTATATTATTCGTCTTAATGTTTTTTTTAATCACTATATCCTGTGTATATAGTCCGCCGGACTATGAACACATTCATTGTACACACTTTTGATAGCAAAACCAAAAACAATTAGGTCATTGTATAAAAAGCCTAACAAAAACTGAAACGATCTCTTTTCTTATAAATGATTTTTTAGATTGTAAAACCACGACTACTTAATACTTGCGAAATTATGCTTTAGTGTAACTACGAATTTTGTGATTGTTTTTTTTCTTTGTAACTATAAGGGTGAAAAAAGCTCAAAATCCAAAGCTTACTACCAAATCCCTTTCAACATCAGCGCATCTTCAATCAAATCAGACAATAATAATGTATATATTATTGCATTATTATTTAAAAATAAATAGTACACTATTTATTTTTAACGGTTTATTTTAAGATAAAAGAATGGCAAATGACTAATTATGTTTACAAAATTTGCCAACTGTCATAAGTGATTAGTTACAATGCTTAAGCCATTTTGGTCTTACGTGTATAATATATGAAACACTTGGTGATTATTGTTTGACCACCTTATTATCACGTATCAAATGTAATTTTTATTTATACACTTTATAAATATAACAGAATGTTAGCTTCTCTTGCACGGCATATTAGCGTGACACAGTTTAAATTTGGACGATTATTTTTACACTCTCGTTGACCGTTTAAGCTTACAACAGTGACCGCAGATTATAAAAGTAATGAAATCCAAAAAACTTTCGTTGAAGAAACAGTCGCTCTCCTCTTGTTCCCACGACTAAGTCTAAATAATTATTATTTATTATGATCCTTCCCACTACACTGGTTATGGATTAAATATTCGTTTATGAATATTTTTTCGCCTTGCCTCTGTCGCCTTCGGATTTTTAATGATATCTCCGACATTAAATTTGCACACCCACGTTAAAAAGTATTCACTATTTTTGCATCTATATCATTTCTAGACTCATTATTCACTACCTCGATATCCACCGGAAAACACTTTCATCGACTGTCATAATAAAATACTTGTCAATGATGACAAAAAAATCTTCATTGCACCGTTTGAGGCACATGGATTATTAATATTAACTTATGACATTCAGATAAGGTTCATGGCCTGGACGATGTTCGTAAAAAACATTTTTACAAACTAAACAATTACGTCACAATTATTTACATTTTAACGGCCATGTAATAAAATATGTGTCCGTACAATCTCATCTAAATTTCTTTATCCATTGGACAAATAACATATTGAATATTTTTAACAATGTTTTCGATCGTTGTTTAGTTACTAGTCATTACTCGTAATGTGAGGCACGTATAGTTGTTTTGTTAAACGGCAGTGAAAATATTAATTTTTTAAATATCATCACATATATATAAGTGTTTATTTATGTTCAAGTGTACATTTTATAAGTGGAATTATCATGTTAGATTTAACAGATTTCGTGGTGAGTATAGTGGCTGAATGATACAATAATTAATCACAGTAAAATTAGTACTGGATAAATGTACAGATGTCATTGGAAATGTTTATAATTATTTGACATGAACATTGAAATAACAATTAGTTGAATTTCCATCTACACTCATATTTTAGTATCATATTTCAAAGTGTTACCAAAATTAAAAAAAAATCCTCTCGGTAACTCTTACTTGTTTGTTCACAATTATTCTGCTTTATTACCACGATAAATCTTGTGTTAAGTACTAATTGATTATATGATATCATTTCGGTAATGATTTTATACGACGAGATTTATGGTGTACGAAAAATATTTTTTCTACGTTTTGACACGTTATTATAGACTTAAATTTTCGTAGATATGTGTTCAGCGTAGTTATCGTTGTCCTCGAAAATCGAATTATACAGAGTCACGCATTGCTCATTAGACAATAGCTTTTTCCGACTCATACTGATATAGTGGATCATGACGACCAGAATCATCTCCATTAATTTTACTGAGTTGAAAATATTTTTTTCTATAATTGACGGAATTCAACATGTGATCTTTGGTATTCAAATGTGTGAATTACATTTCATACTTACTTAATGCAGAAAAATATATACCTTGTACTTTCCGATTAGCCCTTGTGCGTAATAATAGTACATTTTAATTTATTCCATTGCACTTTATTCGAAAGCATAAACTGAATTGGGATACTATTGCTTTTAAACACGGGTCACTTTGGATACATTACCTTAAATGGTCTTTGATAATACCCCACATTTAAATTGTACAGGACGTCTAATAGGTACTATATTAAAGGAACACAATGATTTTAATAAGTCGCTTAAAAAAGGCTAACTGCGGTAAAGGTGTACTTCAATATTTAAGCTTTTATATTATTCTGCCAAACTAAAATTCGAGGGACTAATTTAATTGCTGCCCTAGTTTATAAAATAATTTTACATGTTGATCCTTAAAAATAAATGCAAGCGTTAATAGGGAAATTAAAGGAAAAACTTTTTTTTTTTTTGTAATAATATTACATTATTATACAGTACTTGAATATTTTTTATTTAGTTGTACTAGCTACGCGTGCTAAGAAATCGTCACGGAAAATAATAAAAATTTTATCACAAACTAACTGGCTTTACTTCCTTCTCTATCATCATATTCATATAATTACTGATAGCTAGACATCCTACTCGCGAAACTCAACAAAACTGTTTATCGGATGAATAATTCATCCTGTAATTATAACAACGATTCATAGTGTTTTGTAATTATTTTTAATTATTCTAAAATAAAAATAAGCTATAATTCTTTATGTACGACAAGGTCTTATGAATTTATAACTTAATATTTTCACCAAATATATCCAGCGAAAATTAATGCTGCTCGTTACTATATACTATATATTCTTCTTCTCTACTACTATGAAAATTTTCGCTTCGTAAAATGCATTATTCATTTAGACTAAAACTTAGAATATGTCATTAATATATATATATATATATTTGTTTACAGGTGACTGCCGTCGATCCAACAAATACTTCTCCTCATTCTCCAGATGTTATCTACATTCGACTTAGAGGTAATGTAAATGTGATGTGTTATAATTATGGTTGTTAATATAATATTAAAATAGTATAATAGTATAAACAGTTTGTTTAGACGGATAATTATATTCATTATGCATAAATCGGTTCAAGACAATACCATGCTGCTGTAATATTGTACAATACAGTTTGCTCCTATGTCACTTATTCACATAGTTTATTTTTGAAGGTTATGTCTTATTATAAACAACTTTAATACTATAAGATAAAACACCAACGCGAAAACTATGTGAACAATATCTATGAATATCTTAAATTTAAAATAAGTAAATCAATTAAAATAATAAATGATAAAACTAAAAGACACCACATTTTTTTATTAATCTACAAGTTTAAATATCTAAAATGAACTTGGAGATTTTTATATTTTTTGATAACGTTATTTCGATAAAACATCAGTGACGTAAGTATTGGTTACTGGTAAAATGAAATCGGGTAGTATCATTTGGCAGTTTTCCCATTCAGTCGTGTTTTAAAGATATGACAACTCAAGACTGTTTTCTTGGATTTTATGGGTCCTTAACGCTCAATTGAATTCAAAACCTAATTGAAATATTATAGTCTTTTTGAATTACTCCTTTGTGAGCCGTGATGCTCTCTAGTTAACATTTAAACGACTAATTGTAATTGTAGATTTTGCAACATGAAAACTATCCGAGTAAATTTTACTTGTGAGAGAAAATAAAATTTTCCATACTTGGTTTTACTTAGGATAAACTATACCTAATACTTAACACTCATAGTTAATTTTGTGCATTGTGTTCGCTCACTGTTTTGGTACTTAATTAGTACAGCGTTGACGACAGCTACAATGATGATCATAATTTGTATGTATACGTTCTGCATATTTACTATAAACTGTAGCAACCTACAGTCGTTTGATATGTGTCAAGGCTTTTGTAGGTTATACCGGCATACACAAATAATATTAATGATAATAGTATAATACTACACTATACGTAGTCTATGTACCGTGTACTAGAGTAAACATTATCAGCTATTATATTAGACATACACACTGCTGATAAATCATACTACATAATTACTGTTGGTATTTTTCTAATCATGTAAGTATAATTTAAAAACAAATAATGATATTTGTTTATTAATAATACACGTATAACTAGATTTTGCATTTCATATTTAAGGTAACTCGGGTTGAAAATGCACACTTTTTTTATATCACATACATATTGTATGGTAGTCACAAAACGATCTCTGTATCTTAAACTAAACAAACTGTAGATAAATAAAAATTAAATATTAATATTAAGATTTCAACTTTCTTTAGTGAGTTATTAACTGAAATAAAATACAAAATAATAGTGTACTCTTATCCCATTGATGAAATAATGGTCCAGTTAGTATTGAGTAAGTTTTAACGAGCAAATAAATAATAATTTAACCATATTTTTTTCATAACAAAAGTTAAAAAAATAAATATATTGTTCAATCAATAAGATAGTACAATAAATATAAATATATTCTACCAAAATATTTCAAGTCTTTTAAAACCGTATTATAAACTTAAAATAGTATTCCCTAAGAGATATAATATAAAAGTATGAACATTTTTTATAATCTTTAGCTCAATGATTTTGTAACGACTAAAAATCATAAAAATGTTTATGATTTGATATTCATCAACTATTGATTTATAACTATAAAATTGAATTATTTATTTCAATATTGGACTTTTACCCTAGTTTAGACCTTAGTTATCCCAGTTACTCTATTATGTAAAGATTAAAGCCATTAAATGTAATAGATCTAAATCTTTCTTGTCGAATATTATATTTCAGTTTTTGTCTTAATACTTCAACTTAAATTTTTCATAATTGACAAAAATCGCATCATTATACAAAATAACACTATTAATGTTGTTAGTTACTTAATTTCTTATAAAATAATACGAATGTTTAGGAACATTTTCTGACTTTTTTAGGTTCATCCAGTATTCCTTATATGATTGCCAACTTTATTTTTTAAATAGCAACAAACATTTATAAATAACTTACATAAAATAAAATGATCTAAATAATAAAATAACTTGTTTATAACAACTTTTTATTCATTATTTCGGAAGTTATTATGATTTAAAAATATAGGTTGGAGGTGAGACATACGCATGGTTATTTTAATCATTAGATATTTTATCTCTGCAATTATTTTCCCACCTAAGTATAAAAATGTTAATATCTTCCTTACAACTGTACCATAAGTCATTAACGATCAGTCTTTTTTTTTTATATATATAAACTACTTAATTATGAATGTTGCATTATAAAAATATAAGGTTTGAATCGGTATAAGGAATAAGGGATAGACCAAAAAATATTTAATGATTGATAAATTGAAATGGATAGTAAGAAGTTTTATAGAACTAAAAAAATGTTACAATATTGATATTAAATTAGAAGAAATCAAGTGGCTAACATTAAATGAAAATCCTTGAATAATACATTTATATAAAAAGTTTAAAGATCATAATATATTTTTTAATTAGACTTGAAAATTCCAATAAAAGTTCTATTGGTACTATCAAAAATACTCAGACTGGGTTTTTTCTTATGTTTACAAATATTTATGGAAATTTCATCGTATATTTTTTGGTTTTGTTAAACTATTTAAAATAAACGAACATATTTCAAGTATGTTACTCTAAAAAAGAAAACTAAATCATTACTCAAAAGTAAATATGTCAAAAAGCTGCATACAAACTTTTAACAAAATGAAATTCGAAAGATTTGTCAAAAGCTTCAAAATTGAATTTATTTTCTCTTGTTCTCATCTATATGACATTTTTAGATGTTTCTAAATTTGTAGACCTTATTCAAAATGATGTAAAATGACAAGATTTATTACACTTGTCATATGTAAATGAATAATATATAATATTAATACACACATTATATTTTAAGAAACTATATTTAAATTGTATGAGCTAAGTTAATAAATTGTAGAAAAATAATATACAACAAAATGAAAAATTGTTTTACTTACATTTTAAAAGTAACACTTAGTAAGTGTTACTTTTAACGTTCATTAAAAAAACTCATAAATTATCTAAGAAATTGCTTGTCTTACAATTTTCTTTAAAGTCAATTCTCTTCATCCACTATTCTGTTAAGTACTGCAAAGTCGTATTTCATTCTATTGATATTTTGTTATTATGTTCTTTTTGTGTTTTCATATTTTTACTTAAGATATTATAATTTTTTATATGTTCTTATTGAATCTAAAAACACAAATTTAAAAAAATTCTATATAAAATTTGATTACATTTTTTTTTATATTTTATATATATATATATATATATATATATATTTTTGTAATTTCATATTTTTTTTTTTATTTATTAACATAATATTTATCATCATCAACTATTTGGTATCGGCTGTGCCTTAGACGGAATTTTATACCGGTTGTCACCTGACGTAACTTTAAACCAGTATGGTAGCGAAATGTGTGTCACTGTTAAAGTTCTTACATGGTCACCCATCTGAAAACCAACAGAAAACAGTACAACAGAACATCAGGGCTAAAACGGAGGCTGAATGATCCCCTAATTCGCACCACATCTTATTTATTAAGACAATATTAAATGTAAAAAATGCACAATTCATTTTTTACTTACCTCACTTATTTTAATACATTTTATATATTTTGTTTTATGTTTTAAAAATCTTGAAATAAACAAAAGTTTTTTTTTAATAAAATTGGATTTAGAATTTTTTTTTTAAATAAGACGGTGACTTCTCACAAGATAACAGATTAATGTGTTAAGCGTTAAAAATTTACATATTTTCAAGCACGTGATTATATCTGTTGAACGATGTTACTATTTACCTTCTTATTATTTCGATCAAAGCAGTTCAATTTAGCAATTAAATATAATCCTCTTTTACAGTAAAATTAATTCACACTTTCATGATAAACTATTATTATTATTATTGTATTTAATTTTTTCAATTAATTCTTTATAGTCCCATCATTTCGGTTTTACTGTGTAAATGATGAAATGAGGTAGGATATAAAGTAAACTAATAATAAAAATGAATAAAAACAGACTGTTATAGATACATTATACGTATTTTCTGTGTTTGAAAAATCATACAAAAAAATGCTTGATTAATTAATTATTCGTAGTATCTTCGTTGGCTTTAATTATTTTTATCATCGTTTGACGGGACATGCATACAATATTCTATACCCACGTTTTTTATTTTATTTACGTTATATCTCTTTGCTTTCTTATGCAAACCGTAATTATGGATTCCAATTCTATGTTACAATTAGCATACCCGCTGGTAACGCGTGGGTTTAACAATTATACATGACACCTATCCATGTCAATGTTTCCCTTTTGTATCACTGATTTGTTTATAAAATTGTATAATCATTAATTATGTTTGTTAATTGCACATCAAAATGTTGTTCTCGGTTGTGATGAGTGTTTTTAAGTAGGACAAAGGTTTCATATAACAACCACAAATTTAATTGAACAGATAATATACCTGAATATAAACTCTAAAAAGTTTGATTTTCGATTTTGATATTCTTAAGGTATGCCATGTATTTATCTTTGAAGTAAATATAAATACTGAAAAATGTATTACTAGTTTCTTATATATATATATAAAAGCTTCAACTTTCTTGTTAGTTAAAAGCATGGCTTTAATATTAGCCATCTTGTTTACTCGTTTATATACATAAGACTTTTCTACTTGACAGTGTTAAATATACCTAGAGGATATGTTTTTTACAGCTCGTAAAATATTTTCTTTTATCGTTTATCATTTACTCATTCCTTACTTCCAATTTAATTATATTACTTTTACATCCTATTTTAAATTATAGACTATCTTTATTTTTTATTTTAAACATAAATAAATTGTTTAATTAAATTTTTTAATTTTTAAACCTTATATTATATATTACATCAAGCGTTTCCTTTAATGTCGGCTGCCATTGC